TGAATTTTAGTTTTTTAGCTGGAAACCACTACGGTGATGGTATCAGTGAGTAATTTTTATAGACATGCAGTATATGGTTTGTTTACTTTAAAGGCAACGACTTAAAAACTAGGTATATTTTCTGACACCTGTCTCGTTAGTGCTACTGCTAGGATGCCAGTTAGCCACAAATAAATAAATAATCAGCCAGATTATAAGAAAAACTATGCAAACTATGTCCTACAGTTTCGCCTTGCAACATTTGCGTAACCATCCCATTCAACTAGAAACGTATCAATTCAGTCATAATTTGCGACTTCCTAAGGATTCGCTGAATAGTCTTTTATTTTGGCTTTTATCTCTTAACCAAGTATGCAAAAGTATCGAAATTGATGCCAATGTCAATAGCTTCAATTTTTTTGAAGATAACGTTTCATTAGTGTATAATTTTCTCAATATACTTACTAAAATTTTCGTATTGTGATTGTATTTGTAAATACTCTCGTATAGTATGTAAGTGTTTTTGATCGCATTTTGTGCGGACTACTTACTGGCCGTAAACGTAATTTGAACGCTAAACACCCATATTGATAGCTCAGTGTTCCATATCAGTAAATGGCATCCGTGTTAATGGCTCTAGCTTCATGAAAGTCAGCAGTGGAGGGTTGTCATGCATTATAAGCCTTGAATGAAATGAAGGTATTAGGTCACAGAAAACTGTGACGCTTCTTTGCTGAATAAGAAAGACCACATATTTATATCTTTTGTTATGAGTTTTTATGTTATGTATCAAGGCATTTCGAAGCACTCGCTCAGAACTGTACAATATTTTCCAAAAATTCTAGATTCCTGTTTTTTTGTACAGAGATATAAATTGTTCCTTTTGATTTTCCACATTTACCTTGTGTTTCTGCCAAGCCCAGTGGCCCTGACTGCTTTTTCTGACGTGAACATTCCGCTTCAAGAACTTATTATCCCACGCAGTAATCTCTAAAGCACTTTTCCTTAATTTTTTTATACGCTGTCGAAATGTTTTTTGGAATTACCTTAGTACAGCATTAAAATTTGCCGTACTAGACAAGACAATCTAGGTGGGTCTCCCTGAGCCTATCTGGATGTTTTCTTTATCCTTGGAACAGTTATCTTTTGATTTCTGATAGTGACGCCACTGCCCCTTAAATCGCTGAGTAACTAACCACGTTATTGTAAATAATCGTCCCGCATGCGGAAATTCACTTTATTTCCATCCTATAACAACCTTTTAACACTTTTTTTAAGATCTGGGTTGTATTACACTAATAAAATTATCCCAATTCACTCAGTCCATATTAAATATAAATTGGCAAAGATACAAAGAACTAAGTTACAATAGGCTTGGGCGTTATCCCCGTGTATGTACAATAATCAACGGTGGCTTTGTACCACGTCTAAGTGATTGCTAGAATCAACATCATAATCGGGGAAAAATGCTTTTGGCATGCCTTCAAAACAATATGTTCATTCGTTGTATATGTTCAATACATATTTTTTAATTGTAAACGAAGTAACAAATAGTAGCTAATTCCAACGTAATTAGGGTATAAAAAAACGTAGCCCCACGTCAACTTCCTATTTTCTTCCATCAATCAATGACGACATAGTCCTCTAGAATTTGGTACTAGCGATGAAGCCCACGCCCGAACATATCTGTGAAGCCGATCGAAACAATAGAGCTTAGGAACTACTAGCTGCCCGCTAGGCCGAAGCAAAAAACGGATCAGAAGGCTTGGCCGCAAGATACTAATGTTTGTAGAAGGTAATTTAACGGAGAAGACAAGGCAAGAAGATCATAACAAAACAATACGATCTAATTTTAATATAATCTTAAATTATTCAGAAGAAATACATTGTCTAGCATTAACAACTCGTAAGATACATCATTGCTATGTACATATGCAAACATATTTGAGTACTATCGGTATCTGTAACCTGATTTTTAGAGATGCCAGAACAGTGGCGCTACTGTAACTCGCTGACATATATAACCTAAATATAATTTTTTAGTTATCTAAATTGCATTACCATTACATAAATTATTGGAACACTATTTCTAGGTTTTGTTTAAAAAATCCGCTTAGTTCCGTGTGAAATAGTCATACCAAATATTTCTATCGAAGCTTTCGCATCCTTTCACAGATATTTACCTATGGACTTTATACGAAAGACTTCAGGTGTAACACGCATGCTCTACAAAGTTTGACTTTCAGTGCATCCTTCTGAACGACTGAATGTGCTTCGACTCTTGTGGGTACTTTCTTAAACGTTTATCCACTACCTTGATAGAACAACGAAAGAACGATAAGCATGCGGAAAACACTAACTAGTAAGAGAGGGACAAGTAATAGGACAGATAATAGCTCGGGAGGCAGGCATATTTGAAGACTACACTTTTTTTTGTCTTATTCAATCTTAGGTGAGACAATGCAAAACCTGCAGATGCGGTTTTTAAAGGTCACTCGTAGCGTAAATATAATCTGTATTAAAAATCCACCTATTAAACCTGAGTATTTAGAAGAGCTTCCTGATATATGACCATGTTGGAGTGCTTGCGAAGAACGTAATTCGCTCAGCGTAATTCAAACAATAAAGCTAGATAGGCATGAGCCGGACCGTGCGTTTATGGTTCAGAGCTTTAGGCATTTTGTGTGGTATGACTGGAGCGTCTGAGCGCTACCATTTCCACCAAAACATTGTCCGTGCCGCGTTGAGGCTCATTTTAAACATTAAATTAATTTTAAACATACTATTGCAAAAGTTTTTCATTAGACGTGACTGCAATGTAAGCTGGTATTACTAAAGTTTCTTTCGAAAAGCCTTGTGCTCAGCTGCAGGTCGAACCCTGGATCACATCTTCCCATGTCTGCAACCCAGTTCTTTTTTCTTGCCACAATAGCACATTGCCTTACACGCAAAAACATACTACCTAAATATAAATAGTCACCAAAGCAGATATACTCTCATCCTTCCACTTTTCTTGATATTTCTTGGAGCTATTTAGCAACGTCATGAGGACGTGGCATTTCACTGTATACAAATTATCCTGTGTCCAAGTCGGTAATAATTGTTCTGCAAAGCCACAAGTAAGTCATTACAAGCGGCTCTACAAAGCGTTTACCTGGAAAATATTGATTTTCTTTGCCGTGAATATATGAATAATAAAATTAGGTATTAAGAAAAAGTAACTGCGATAAATGTAGAACAGTGCACATTTTTTGGTAAATGTGCCATCCTCCGGTCGATGTAAGATGTGGTCTTAGACAGAGAAAGAAAAGAAAGATCTTTTACCTTAGCTGACAATGACAACTAAGAATTGTATAAAATTTTTATTTTTTTAAGGTACGTTGGCGCAAATCCATGTCTTTTGGGTGTAACCGTAGAATATATTGTTCGTCTAGCATTAACAGCAGGAATAAAAACCTTTTTTAGCTCTATCAGCGAGAAAGATCAAATAGAGCATTTGCTTTAAAAATACGAGCTGAAACTATTTTTAATATTTAACCCCCATTAAAAACGCGAGAAGTTGTTGAACCTTATGCAAGTTAATTTAGCAGGATTGGACGATCGTTTCTTAAAACTCAGTCGTGTTTATTTTAAATTTCCATAAGAGCGCAGTACCTTAAATCGCGACATAGAAGCAGTGTTTCGCTGTACAGCGTTGGCGAACCGAACTATACCGACGAAACGCTTTTTACCTTAAGAATATGAGGTCCTTTTAAGCAACCACCCTATTTTACAGAAATCTCATTATAGGATGCACGTATATATGGCTTAATGATTTGTGCTATCTGTAATTTACACTGACTTTGGATGACTTATTTTGCTTTAGCTGGCTGGCAGGGCTCGAAATCTAAATAGAATCAGTTATTATTATGTGAACTTATTAGAAATTATTATGTGTATTATTATCAGTTAAGTATTATGTGAACGACCTGGATATAGCCTACAGCGGCTAATGTATTGACGCCTTTTATTATTATGATGAGCTCGAGCAAATCGTTACACTTTTTGTTGTTGAAGTTAGGTAGACATTCAGCCTTCGGTTCGTGGATCTGATATTGTTGATCCTTTACGAGCTCTCATTTCATATAGTCTGCAATAGTAGCCGTGCTAGAAACTGACTTGCCTTCTATCAAAGGTGTCTGCAATCGAGTGATTTGCTCCTTCCGACAATCTTAGCTGCGACCCACGTCTCCAAGGTCATTTACATTCTCGCCATTTACCTACCGTTGGTCTATAGTTTGCAGTATACTGCAAAAACAAGTTCTCGTCTTGTTCATAATTGCAAAAGCTTTGTGCTTTGTCAAGTTTTTAGTATTTATTGCGTCCATATGTAACTAATGAATTCGTCATTCATTTAGTCATATTTTCGATAAATAAAAACTGATGCTACTTCTTTGGTCAACCGTGCCAAACCAATGATTCTATGTAGAAAAGGACTTACCTCTCTTTTAAAGAAATCTTACATATAATGGCTATAATTGCAGTGAAACGGCTCCTCCCTGTGGCCTGCTGTAGTTAAAGAGCATCAAGTCCCATTTAATCAATCCAGCCTAACGATCCTCCGGCCACCCTTGAGCTACCTATGTTACCAGATTCCCTGGCCATTACCACGGTTGTCACTTGCCTTTCCTCATTTGTCGATCATTCCACTGACAGCAGAGGGCAGTGCTATTACTGCTAGACACACTTCCTCCAGTCCTCACCTCTAGCTTCACTAAATTACTGCATTCGGTTCCGCATTGCCCGCTCCTTTCCCAGCTCCAACCCTTCCCACCCTCTGGCGTTCGCGGCCTCCTTTCTCATTCGCCATATCATTATTGAGACGACCAATGAAAGCCCGCTCTCAGTTGGGCGGGGCTAGAGAGCGGTGATCGGCACCGCCCACCGCGGGAGCACACGAACCGTTTGCGTATGCTCGTAACCTACTTGTGCGCCCGTACGCTAGACAAGACAGTACAGTGGCAGGCACACGAAGTGCCGCGCTTAACAACTAAACTACGCAGAGGGAGGCAAAAACACGATTATTTGGATAGCAGAGTTACAAATGACGTTTACTGTACTTGCATCACTAAAGTAAAAAAGGCCGTTGTCAATATCGAGTGCTATAATTTTTTTTGCAGCACTAGCCAGTTAAGTATTTCCGGTTCGTACTGGCGTTTCTGAAAGTACATTCCTGACAAAGGTAATCTGCCATAATCGGATTAATGCAAGCTGGTTTGTGAAAATTAACAGTGGATACCAGGGTGATTGTGGAATTCTTTTGAATTGACAGTGTAAACAAGCGATTTCAGATAGCAGAGTGTGATGTGGATAGCGGGCGTCGCGTCTAATTCCAGTAAAAGTTATTTTTCGACGCTCTTCCGTATTGAGTGGTCATTGTTATCAAAACTACCGGTCTAAGGCAGCTCTGATTTGTTAACCGAACTAGACCGCCACAAGGGAGTACATCTTAAATCGTAATAGTGGAAAAAGGTGTAACATGTGAAAGTAACGGATCACTCGTTTTCATCAATAATAGCGAGGTTGCCAGTTACGGAGACATTAACGTTAAACACGTGAGTGAAGTGCGTGACGAGGGGGGCACTAAATTTATAGTGCATCTGCGTTGGTTCCATCAAGGTTCCCTTCTTCGGTGCATCTGCATAAGTAGCTACTTAATAGTAAGAATAGTGATCACCGACAAGAATCACTGCTGTAGCAACGTAGGCTTTGAAGTATATGCCTATGTCAACCGGTGGTGGCCGAAAGTGCGAATCATAGGGTTCGTATTACGTGGGATGTTCGATGAAGTTTTCGTCATTTCGTAATGGTTGATGTCACCGATGATCCTGCCTCCAACCTACCGCCGGTATGTTGAAAGCGAGCGTTTGTTACAGATGTAATCGATTAACTGAGTGCTATGGATAGAAATGGAACGTCGACGATACGGGATCAATCCATCATGATCAAGTTCTAACAGTCAATTTAAAATTCAGTTGTTTAGGTAGGCAAAGCTTAACTTGTAATATAGGCCACAAAATTTTACAGAGAAATTGTTGGCCTGTCATTGTCTCATTTCGATTATATAGTTTAAAAAATGTGCTTAAGAACAGTGTCACGTGTTTAGCGATGAAATGTAACTCTGAAAAGATCAATTCTTTCCTTGAACTGTGAAGCAGAGTGCCTAGCTCTTACACAAAATATGACGAACTTTTTTAAGATAGCTACCTATAGGCCGAGTGTAAGCTAAAACACAGAATATGTATTTTAAATTGAGGAAACTTAAGTTCACGACTAAGTCAACCATAATGAACAAGGCAACAGATAACCGAAAGCCAAAGACTACGATGACGAACAAAGAGTAGAGCAAAATCGGAGGGAAAGGGTATTTTCATAACGTTCCTGTTATGGAAACTGTTCATGGCCAACAGGCGTTTATCATCCTAAGTTCCGCTCGATTCTGCTATTCTATTTGGTTAGAAGCACGGAAGCACGTGTTCTGAGTAGCGGCATCACACACCACAGTCCTTCATCGCTTTCTTTCTTTTCGTTCTGAATTTTGCTTCCACCTTTTTGAGTTGAATGTCAGTTAGGTTCCGTCTACAGATACTACACAAGTAAACATAGCAAGAGTAGCAAGTGGTTGCTGAGCAGCGTATTTGTGCTTACTTTCGGCCACAAAGAGCAGAGCGTAAGGACACCACTATTGGTACTGCGTCCGTCCGTCCCTCCGGCCGTGAGTCTTCTCCGGCCTTTGAGCTGATTGCAGCCCGCTCTCTCACAGACGAGCAATGGCGTTACTGTTCGCTAGCTTCCAACGCGCACAAGAAATAAGGCGACCCCGAAAGCCATCATTGGTACAGCTACTAGAGCCGGAGCGAAGAGCAGCAAGGATGCCCCGTTTTTCCCGCTAGTAAAGGGCTATAGGCAGACGACCTGCAGGCGGGTGGATGATAGAAGTTCATGATGGTGGTGGTGATGTTGCGGCTGGTAGTGGTTGTAGTCGTCATCACTAGAGTAGACGTCGTAGTCTTGGACGACGTGAACAGGAAGCGGAGGAGGTGTGGAGTGTAAGATTGAGACGAGCTCCCGGTATGACTGTAGCGACGGTCAAAGTGCGCTGGCATCATAGACAGAATCCGCTAGCTAACGGACTGCTAGTCAAGCTGGGTAATAGCAACAACGGCACTAGCTCGGAGGCAGGCGGTAATGGCATGATCATCAGCATCAGCAATTGCCGGATGAACAACTGCTGCGACTATACAGATAGTTGGCGGCTGGACTACCCTCTAGTATTATGGAACGGTCGATGCGGAGCGAAATGAGCGGTCTATTGGCGGCTTACTATTCATTCGAGGCCAATCTACTATACTACCACTATAAGCGCTGAGTGAATACTCGTACTATCGCTACAACTAGTACTGTCAGTATTACTATTGTAGTTATCGTGGAGTACCTGTTACTTTACTTACTTGTGCCGCACCACGAATATATGCTATTATCTATGTATTATGTACGACGTACTGTTGCGACCGCTGCAACGTCTATCCTATAGTCTACTATAGCAGAACAATTGTTATTAAACATATTACCAAATCTATCAGAATGGTGCATTAGCATTTGAGTTAAAAGTTACGGAGGAAATGGTAAAAATAAGAGTAAAGTATTTAAGCCTAGCATTGTAAGGGTTTTTCGCAAACCCACTGACGCGTATAGTATACTTTAACATTCTATCCTGATGCCCTTATCCTGTTTAGGAAAGGATAATATAAAACTAGGAAACTTATAAAAAGTTTCCTGTTGAGTACTTTCCATCTAAAATTCCAAAGCTTCATTCTACAAATCCAATAAAAATTGCAATATTTTTTTTCCGTAGATACTGTTTTTCAGTATGTATAATGCTAAGTATATTTGCGAGTTAACAAATAGATAGTTTGCCATGAATTTTATATCTAAAAAGTAAATTGAACTACAGTGAAATTATAGAAAGTTCCTTGCTGCAGTACATAATAAATACACGTCGTGCGTCGTGCTTAAAGCTTCTTTTATTGAGAACGAATATCTTATTTTTTTGTATTAAATTCATGCACCCCCTTATTTAATCAGTAGCAAAAATCACATAGGCTAAAACTTTGCTTTACCTGATCTACTTGAAATGAAAACTACATGTGCTCACCACGAATGCCAAAAAAAGCTCATGGAATCCTTCTCCATCAACTTAAGAGTTGATAACTGTCAAGATGCCTTTCCAGATGGCCATATAGTATTTCTTAAAATGCATCAATTTTTAATACTCAGCGTTAAAGTTGTGATTATCTTAGCATCTATTACTAATATGTCCAACCAGTTTCACGCGTAAATGATATTGAATACAGGTTACGTGGGCCGAAAATCCCCGCTTGTTGCGATGCAGCAGGGTGAACTCGGTCTATGAGTAAACCTATTATCTTTTACTATTCTTTATATGACTTGAGGCCCAGAGTATTCGATTAGTCGGAAAATGTTGTTTTAAGCCTACTATGTTATATGTATAATTGTACACAATATATTTAGGAAATGGCCTGAAAAAGGACCTTCCGACTGTTTGTCAAGACACGCATCAGTAACTAATAGATCTTGGCAATCTTTGCGGGAGTATTTGCACTAACTGTTGGCAGCCAGGTTAATTGTCAAATTTATTCCTATTAGTATATTACTGTGACATTCTTAAGACGATGTAACACATGTAGTCTAGTGGTCTATAGTAAAATGACCTGATAGGAAAACTTCCAAATGTAGACAAAAATTAAGTCGTGACAAATGTTTTTACACTCATTACAGAATTAGTAATGCTAACTGTTGTGATACACTCTCAAAAAACACATATCATTGTTTACTTTAATTAGTGAAACGTAATTTTTACAACAAATTGCATGTGGATGGTGAAATGTGCGTTAATTCAGCTAGTTAACAGCCTTAATAGGCCTCACTGTACACGTCTCGAGTACAACTCTAAATATACTCGATTGGTTTAATAAAGCACTAGTTCGCGAGAAGTACGGTGAACCCATAAGGCAAAGTGATTCCGTGAGTTAAGTTGACAAATTTGTAAAACATAAAAAAAGTGATATTGGTCATCTGCATAATTTGTATCAAGTATACAAAATATTATTGATAATAAAGAAAACACTACTCTCTGTGGCGCATCTTCTACATCGTCAGTCAAAAAATTAATCGAAACATGTACATCTTCGAAAATGTTGAGTATCCTTCTTAAACGGTACCATTGTATACGTAATGCTCATCTTTGGTAATGACTATGAGGAGTAGGTTCATTCAGTTTTTGCGAACTAGCTGCAGAGATATTTATTTATATCGATGAATTCGGACAGCCACGAGCTTTCTAAATCACTTGAATTGTAAAGAAAAACTAAGAGTTTGAAGAAATTTACAAGTTTTAAAGAAGCAACTAGTACTGCTATATACAAAATCAGTCCAGGTACTTGGATTTCATTAGGGCAAAAATATTTGCCCGCATGTATCAGAGCTAAACCTTGCAAATACAATGAACTTTAATTTTAAAGTAAAAGCTTGTGTATCATGTGCAACATGTAGGCAGTCGCAAACGTGAGGATCCTTTGAATGCTATGAGTAAGAAATGGTCACTGAGTAATTTGTAGAATAAATAGTATCAGCACAAATTGGTTCTACAAATATAGAAATGCTCGATAATCGGAACCCCGTTTTTAAATAGTTTTTATGCGCCGCATAAACCACTTACTTCTTTAATCTGAGTGAGTCGCTTTCGCTTATTTTTAATCTAGGAAATCTTCTCAAAAAATAGCACCGAACTAACTGCCAAGGAAGTTTGTGTGAATTGCTCAAAGAAACATTTATCGAACGTAAACCATTTACATGAAGAGCTTAATTTACAATAGCACTTTTGCAAATACCTCTATAGTACTAAATGATCATTTAATTTAAAATTTTCACCAATTTGCTGGATGCACGCATATTCAGAGCTCTTCTTATGCATGTAAACAGAGAGCGAAGGTTTAAAAAAGTAATTTTTCCGGGATAACGATTAAATCAGGTGTGCTATAAAGAACCGTTATTAACTGTCTATACTATACTAAAGGGTATTTAAAGCCCAAAACATTATGTTATATACTCGTTATAAAAATGTGTATTCATTCTGTTTAAGAAAAACATTTCTACAAAAGCAGAGTAAATGAGTTTTGCCCAGTTGGCAGTCTCACTTATCAACCGGGCCCGTAGCTAGTTAGTTTAATGCAATGAAGAAGTGTACTTGAAATTTCGTGAAACTTTAACTCAGGTCTTTGGTGAAGTTTTTATATGCAGTCCAGTAATATGGCTATCTTGCGTTTTCCCTAACAGCCATTTTGCTTGTCAGCAGCACAGCATTCCACTGCAGGGCCTGCTTGTTCACGCTAATTGGCAGTCTAGCAAGTCCTGCCCCATCCATTTTGTGAAAATGCACTATATGTACCAATCGCCACCCCGCAAAAATCAGTAGTCAAACAAATCGAATGAAACAACCGTCCGGGAAGACGAGTACCGCTCAACGACCATCTGGCGCTTGCGATGGTTATGACTATCAGGAAACCCAATCATAAATAGCGATATAGAACAGGCTGTTTAGCCTATTAAGGCAGGGGCAAAGTTTCTCCCCTGTTTCGATCACTTGGAACATCTGATAAAGGTTGATCCTGTGGGTCGGATTCAGGAAGTCGCTACAGGCTAACTTGGTGCATATGTTTCCTAACTTTCCTCGGTTCTACTTGTGGCTTCTAAGAAGGTGCGATGCAGCATCGCATCGAGGTGTTAGTCAGGGTTGCTCCTTTCTGGATCACCCCCTCTCTTCCCCGC